CAAATAATCTGAGAAGCTGGACTATATGAAAAAAAAAACATGGCATCAGGATTGGAGGAAGAATCATTAACAACCTGAGATATGCAGACGATACAACTTTGCTTGCTGAAAGAGAGGATGACTTGAGGCACTTACTGATGAAGTTTGAAGAATACAGTCTGCAGTATGGATTACGTCTCAATATAAAGAAAACAAAAATCCTCACAACTGCACCAATGAGCAGCATCACAATAAATGGAGAGAAGATTGAGGTTGTCAAAGAATTCACGTTGCTTGGTGCTATAATCGATGCCAACGGAAGCAGCAGTCAGGACATTAGATGACGTGTAGCATTGGGAAAGTCAACTGCGAAGGAACTGTTTCAAGTGCTGAGGAGCAAGGATGTCTCCTTGAGTACTAAGATGCGCCTGACACAAGCCATGATATTTCCAGTCACCTCGTATGCATGTGAGAGCTGGACAATGAATAAGGAAGACCGAAGAAGAGTTGATGCTTTTGAGTTGTGGTGCTGGCTGAGAATGCTGAAAGTACCATGGACTGCTAAAAGAACTAACAGATCTGTCCTGGAGGAAGTGCAGCCAGAATGCTCCTTGGAAGTGAGAATGGCCAGACTTTGTCTCACCTATTTTGGTCATGTTGTCAGAAGGGACCATTCCCTGGAGAAGGATGTCATACTTGGTAGGGTGGAGGGTCGACGAAAGTGGGGGAGGCCTTCAACGAGATGGATTGACACGGTGGCTGCGATAATGGGCTCAAGTATAGCAGGGATTGTGGGGCTGGCGCGGGATCGGGCAGTGTTTCATTCTGCTGTGCATGGGGTCGCTATGAGTCGGAAATGACTTGACGGCACCTAACAATAACAACCACTCACAAATATCTGTATGGACTACAGTTATTCAGTGTTTTTCTCCTCATGAATTTGTACTGTCTGTAAAGAAATGCTTGAAGAAAATAAACTTACCTGAAAAAGCCATCTTCCTCCTCGATCTGTTCCTCAGCATTAGGTTGTAAAGGAGCTTTAGGAAAGACAGTGGTGAAGTTCAGATGGTTCGTCCTTGATCCATCCTCTGTATCTCTTGTTTAAAGAGAGAGAAAGAAAGTGCTAATTTCTAACATATCAGAGGTTCCAGTATTTTATAGGAAGACTGCATAGGAAGGGCATTAGTGATGATGCTTTGGTGGTAAATGAAATATGATGCTGAAAGCAGTCAGACAATAACAGATGCATGTGACGCTAGGTACGGAGAAGTAGAGAAGATGGTATTCATATATCAGATGCAGCGTCATCTGTATATTATGGTATTTTCCCATCAAGTATCAATAAAATTCTTTGTTCTATCCTATCGAGTAGGCTAAAGTTTCCATGGTTCACTAGTCCCTCAGACTAATTGGTTCCTTGCGTCCTTGATTTTCTTCACATTTCTTTGCTCTGAATGACCAATAGTTGCATTTTAGGTGGCTGCTCACAAGTTTTTAAGACCAAGTCACTACTCATCAAAGTAGGATGTAGAACAATGACTTTGTGTAGTATGTTATGCCAGTTGAGTTTGATGACTGCTAACCAGAAGGCTGGTGGTTCAAACCCACCAGCCACTCCTCAGAAGGAAGGTTGGGCAATCTGCTTCCGTAGTGATATCGCCTCAGAAACCCAAGGAGGGGTTGCTATGAGTCAGATCCAACAAACAGCAGTGAGTTTGTTTTGGTTTGGTATGACCTTGGTCCAAGTCTGCTGACACAGCAACTTTTGCCCTCAAGGTGTTTGGCTGTGGCTAAGAAGTTAAGTTTTCCTTGTTAGCTCTATTATATATATGGACATTCTTATAACACATACAAATATATATGTAGAAATATCTGCCAAGCCTGTATATAGTCATTGGTATATTGTCTTTTACCTACCCATACCTGGTTTTCAGGCCTGCCTACATATATATCCACCAGTAAATTGATGTTTATCATTACTAATAATGCAGTATTGTATATGTGACAGTATTTGCTTTTGTTGTCTGTACCTCTCGCACCTCTTTGTGTCTTCCTTTTCCTTAGTGTTATTGTGCTAGTCATTCATTTTTGGTATATTGCCTTTTCCTTTACCCAGATCAATACATGTTTCTTACCTAGCTAGCAATTTTTCTTCCCCTCCATTCCATCTCTGGTAACCAGTAAAGATACTTTCCTTCAGTGTGTAAACCTTTCCTTGACTTTTGACACTAGTGGACTTGTACAGTATTTGTCCTTCTGTGATTGACTTATTTAACTCAGCATAATGTCCTCCAAGTTCATGTTTGTTATAGGTGTTTCACAGATTCTGTTATTATTTAGGTGTGTATTTACCATAGTTTGGTTATTCATTCATCCACTGATGAACACTTACATTGTTCCCATCTCTTGGATATTGTGAACACAGTGCTGTGATGAACACACACGTGCATAGATTCATGTACATTCATGTACTAGTTCTTACTTCTTTAGGTTATATAGTAGTGGTATTGCTGGATCAAATGATGTGTTGTTTCCAACTTTTTAAGTAAGCATTATACCGTTTTTCTCAATAGTTGTATTATTTTGCGGTCCCACCAGCAGTGTATGAGAGTTCCATTCTGTCCACACCCTTGCCAGTATTTTTTGGGGGGAGGTGTATGGTCATGTTGAACTTTGTCCATTACTGCTTGGGTGAAATGATATCTTGTTGTTTTGATTTGCTTCTCTTCCATGGCTAATGATTGTGAGAATTTCTTCATGTGTTTGTTGGCTGCCTGAATATCTTCTTTGGTGAAGTGTCTGTTTGTGTCTTCTGGCCATTTTTGAATTGGAGTGTTCATCTTTTTGAGTTGAGGTATTTGAGTTTTCTATACATTTTAGACCGAAGTCCCTTGTTGGATATGTCCTTGCTGAATATTTTCCCCCAATCTATAGGTTCTCTTTTCATTCTTTTGGAGAAATCTTTTGATATACACAAGAATATAATTTTAGAAGGTCCCAGCCATCTAGTTTATCATCTGTTGTTTGTACATTTTTAGTTTTGTTTTGATGGTCTCTTTTTGCTGTATATTAGGGCTCCTAAGTTCGCTCCTATTTTTTCTTTGATGAACTTCATATTTTCAGGTTTTACATGTAAGTCTTTGATCCAGCTGGAGTTACTTTTTGTATATGGTGTGAGGTATGGATGTTGTTTAATTTTTCTGAAAATGGATATCCAGTTTTGCCAGCACCATTTGTTCAAAGAGACTGTCTCTTCCCCCTTTAGTGAATTTCCGCCTTTTTCAAAGATCACCTGTCCGTTGGTGGAAGGATCTATTTCTGTGTTCTCAGTTCGTTTCTGCTGGTCTGTGTATCTGTTGTTGTACCAGTGGCAGGCTGTTTGACTACTGTGGTGGTATAGTAAGTAGGTTTTGGGGTTGGGGAATGTGAGACCTCATACCTTGTTTTTACTCTTAAGTAGTGCTTTGCTTATCTTTCTTTTCCATATTAAATTAGTGATTGGTTTTTCCATGTCCTTAAAGAATGCTAGTGGAATCTAGATCAGGATTGTTTGAATCTATAGATTGCTTTGAGCAGTACTGATATTTTCACAATGTTCAGTTTTGCTATCCATGAGGTTTTATATAGATCTCTTACAGTTTCTTGTAGTAGTGTTTTGTAGTTTTCTTTGTATAGATGTTTTATGTTCCTGGGAAGATATATTCCTAAGTATTTTATATTTTTGGTAGCTATTGTAAATGGTAGGAGCTCTGGTAGCATAGTGGCTAAAGCACTTGACTGCTAACCAGAAGGCTGGTGGTTCAAACCCACCAGCCACTCCTCGGAAGGAAGGTTGGGCAATCCTACTTCCGTAGTGATACTGCCTTGGAAACCCAAGGAGGGGTCGCTATGAGTCGGGGCTGACTTGACGGCACATAACAACAACAACAACATTGTAAATGGTATTGATTTCCTTTTCAGAGATCTCTTTGTTGATGTGGAAGAATCCAACTGATTTTTGTACATTTTTCTTATATCCTACCACTATGCTGAATCTTTCAGTTCATTCCAGTAGTTTTCTTGCTGAGTTTCTGGTATTTTCTATGTATAGGATCATATGATCTGCAAATGAGAATAATTTTACTTCTTCCTTACCAAATTGGATGCCTTTTATTTCCCTTTCTTACCTTATTGCCATGGCTAGGACTTCAGTATAATGTTGTATAAAAGTGGTGATAAAGGGCATCGTTGTCTGTTTCCTGTTTGCAAGGGAAATGCTTTCTGTCTCTCTCCACTGATAATAATGTTGGCTGTTGGTTTTGCATATATGCCCTTTATTGTGTTGAAGAATTTCCCTTCTGTTCCTATTTTGCTGAGAGTTTTTATCAGGATTGGGTGTGTTGGATTTTATTAGTTGCTTTTTCTGATTTTACCAATTTATAGCTTAATTCCTTTATGGCCAGAGTGCTGAAGTTTGTTTTATGGTATGGAATATGGGCGATGAAAGTGAGAAGAACTCTCAATGAGATGGATTGACACCATGGCCACGGCAGTGGACTCAATCATGGCAGTGATCGTGAAGATGGCACAGGACCAGGCGCGTTTCCTTCTGGTGCATTTAGGGTCACCGTGAGGCAGACCCAGCTCAGTGGCAACTAACAGCAACAAATCAGGATCAACAAACTTTTATGTAAAGAGGCAGACAGTAAATAATCTTAGACTTTGTGGACCACACAAGCTCTATCACACCTTTTTAACTCTGTCAAAGCAAAAACAGCCATAGATAATATGTAAGTGAATGGCTGTGTTCCAGTAAACTGTATTTACAGAAACAAGTGGTGGATGCCACATTGGCAGCCATGGCTCTAAATAACTAAAGAGAATTGAGGTTGATGTAGTCATCTTCTTTTTCCTTTGGTTGGTGTCTTACGTTATGTTGACAATCAATAGGAATTTCCGTTTAGTACATAAGGAGATTTCCTTTTCCTTTCACTTGCAGTGGTTTCTTGTCAGAGACGTACCCCTCCTTTCTTTCCTGCCAGGAATGAGCAGCGACAGTGATATTGAATGTGACACTGAGAATGAGGAGCAAGAAGAGCTCGGCGGCATGGGTGGCTTTAATGACTCTTTCATGGCGCAGCCTCCAGATGAAGGTGAGACATGTTATACCATCTAAAGTAATAAACCGTCTCCTCTCTTTTTTCTTTAATTTGTTCTCTGCTTCTTTTAATTATTGTCGTATGTGAGACAACATTTTATAGGTAATTACATGGTGAGTATTGAAAAAATAGTGATGGTGTTTGCCTTGGTTAGACATCTGATAAGTGCTACTTATTGGGCAGAACAGGAGTCAACAATATATTTTTGTACAACCTGTAACCTAAGAATTGTTTATACATTGTAAAGAGGGTATAAAAACAAAGAAACAGTAATATACAACCAAGACCATGAGTGGCCTGCAATGCTTATAATATTTACTGTCTGCCTCTGTCATGTTTGCTGACCCTTGGGGAGTTTTCAGATGTTTGATTTTTATTATTATTTTTCTTTCCTTAGATATTTTTAGCCAATCCATAAAGTAATATTTTCAAAGATACCCTTTTCTGGTTTCTTAGAAGTACATGCAGATTATAGAATCATCTATTTTTGTTCCCCTTCCTCTTAAAAAAAAGTCTTAGGAAAAATAAGTCACTGAGAGAAACCCACTGTTAATTTTTTTAAAAAAATTTTTATGTTTTTTAGGTACACATTTACAAAGCAGATTTGTTTTACTCTGAATAATTCATGCGCATTGGGTTTCGTGGCCCCGATGACAATCCCCAGCCGTAAGAAGCGGTCCTCCCATCTGCTCTGCGCCTGCCCTTCCCTGTGCCCTTCCTATCTGTGCATTCCTGTCGGTCCGTTTTCCCTGTATGCACATAGCTGCCCTTCTGCTATCTCATGATTGATGGATCCAAGGGGTACATCTCCCTACTATTAATTTTTGTCTTGTTTTATTTGTATAATTTTGTGTTCTACTTTTATTTTAAAATTTATTTTATTTAAAATTTCATGTTTATTGGCAGCTTAATGTTCTCCTGTCTCAGTATACCATAACCATCATCCGACTGTGAGGAGATTTTCCAAAGTACAGGTTGAATGGTAAAAGGGTGTGTACTACTCCTCACTTACTGACTTTTCACATTTATCTGACATTGCTTATTTACGACAGTAGGAAAAGTCTGCTGTCTGAGTTTTTGCACATTAACGATGTACATCTGACAATAACAAATGCCAAAGTGCAAGGCAAGAGTAAATGCTGGCTGTGATAGTTAAGGTTATGAGTCCCGTTGGCTGGGCCATGTTCTCAGTAGTTTGGCAATTATATTATGATGTAATCCTCCTCCATTTTTTGATCTGATGTACTCATCCTTTATTTTTGCATAAAAACCTGGTCTTTGGAACCTAAACATGTTGGTTAGTGAGGAATGGGTGCTCTGAAAAGTTAGAGAAGTCATCCAGTGATCACTTAAAGTCACCTAGAGACATTAATGTTCATTCTTTTGTTACTGTCAGGCTATTAATAGCTTTATATTTTACTTATTTCCTTAATTTCTAGTCTTGGTTTCAACGCAACCATTTGATAATTTCTAAGTACTAAGGCACCTTTAATAATTTCCTTGGCTTCTAAAAGCAGCAGCCAGACTTTGGGCAAGTTACTGTGAGTGCTGGTGGGCATTTATGGTGGTGTTTGTGTGTGCAGCTTGATTGGCTGTCAAGTACTTTAATGTTTAGAGAGTCTGAGTCCTGAGTGTGCACCATTGCTGTTTCCCATTCCCTTCTCCTGCTGCCCCCACAGGCTTTCCAGGAGAACGAAGTGAGGCAATGCTTTTCATCTTTTAATTGTGGGTGTCTCTCACACATTTTGTTTTTTCTCCTTTATTGTCCCATTATGTTTGCTTACACCTGACTCATATCACAAATTCTCTGAAGAAAAAGCTTTGTCTATTACCCAGCACATCTCTGGCACTTAAATAACAGTTATTAAGATCACTGATGCCTGGGAAAGAGAATGGTGCTCTTTAAAAAATATATATCTGCTTTTAATGTTCTGAGGAGCCCTGGTGACTCAGTGATTAATAACTTGGCTATAACCGAAAGATTGGTGGTTCAAACCCACCAGCCTCTTCACGGGAGAAAAATGTGGCAGTCTGCTTCTGTAAAGATGTACAGCCATGGAAACCCCGTAGGGCAGTTCCGCTTGGTTCTATGGCATTATGATGAGCTGGAATCAGCTCGATGGCAGTGGGTTGTTTAGTTTTAATGTTCTACTTTTTTATCTTAGACACATGTTCCAGTTTTCCTGATGGCGAACAAATAGGCCCTGAAGATCTCCACTTCAGTACTGATGAAAACAGTGGAAGGTAATTGCCTAATCAAGAGACCTGGCTCCCAAGCTGCCCTGACCCTGAAATTTGCTGTAGTTGGTGCTCCAGTTTTCCATCAGTCAAATGATCAGATTTGGTCTTATTTTTGCATTATCTCTGCCAGAAATAATAACTCTGAAACTATTAAAAAGTATGTAAGATAGTAGTACCTGGGGGGAAATATTAACAGCGTGGGAAGTGCTCTTTGTAATGTAATGAAATAACAGTGTAGTTCTAGAAATTAATTGAGTAAATTAGTATATTCCCAAAAGACAGTTTGTCTTCTGCAACAGAAGGGCAATTAGCTGGCAGGAAATGTACCTGGAGACAGTGCATGTATCTAGTAGGCTGCTCGGCACCGTGCACATCTGTTTCTGGCTAGTTGATCAGTCACGTTCAAAGGGCCACCTTTATGTTTTGGGTTTTAATAAATAGTGTGTAGCTTCGTTAATGCCTACGGATTAGTGAACAGAAGAACTACCAGTAGATTCTGCCTTGTAAACGCTTTGTGTGAGTAAGTGAAGTAACACTAAACTGAATCTCCTCTATGGAGTATATTGACAGGCTAAAGTTAATTTATTTCTCTTTTCTCACTTCTTGAAGTGCAGGCACATTGTTTATTGGCACATAATGTTTCTGTTGTATGACTTTTACAAATGTAATTTTAAGTGAATTCATTTAACATGGATTGATTATGTTCCTAGTCATGTGGGGATACATATAAAATCATTTAACTTTACTTAATTTCTTATGCCTTTTACAAAAAACTGTAGTGCAACCAGTATTTTAAAATCCTCTTTTCTTCTTTATTTTGGTCAATCGGACATTGATTTTAGTGTCAATATATTTTAAGACTTACACATACTATGCAGTTATTTGCATGAAAGTGAGACTATAATAGAAGGTTTTCCTTCATACTCACCATTAGCCTAAAATAGTTGCCAATTTTACCATGATGCTCCTGCATTTGTGTTTGAGCTGCTATATTGTTTGTGAAAATTACACTGAACATTGACTAAGAAACTATTGAAAAAGCCTGACTATATATACATGTGAGAGATAGCTCTCTCATCTGCATATATTTTACTTAATGAAAATTGTTCACTTTTCCATGTCTTGCTGAATGGTGTGATTCATAATTTACTTTTGTTCAAAACAGTTTGCACTTTTTGTTAATAAAAGGAACTTGGAAAAATATTATGCCTCTGCAATTTATTGAAAGTAGGACCAGAAATGCTTTTTTATCTCTTCACGCTGCCTGCGTGTTTAGCTGCCTACATTGTGAATGAACGCATGGAGGAGTCAGAAGATTTACTTACAGTCACCTTAGTAAATATGGCTGCTAACTGGTCATTCAAACCCACCAGCCACTTCTCAGTAGGAAGGTTGGGCAATCTACTTCCATAGTGATACTGCCTTGGAAACCCAAGGAGGGGTCACTATGAGTCGGGTCCAACTCGGTGGCATATAACAACAACAACAACAATAACAACTCTCCTTAAAAGTCAACTGGAAAAATTTAATGCTATAATCTTAAGATGTAGAAATTCCATATTCACTTACTAACATGATACTGTAAGCATGCTGTTATATAGTTATTTGGTTTTGTTTTGTTTGTTTGTTTTAACAGTGATCTAAAACATTACTGATAAGTTCTTTAACATGTTTCACTTTCTCTTAGATGGAAATATTCATGGTTATTGTATTTTGTTTTAATCCAATTTTCTCTTATCTGTACATGCCTATTGTAATGGATGAAACTACATGCAAGAGCTTTATACTTTCTGTGTTGAGAGCAAACCATTTTAAGAATTGCTTTGGAATATACTCCTTGGAGAGAACAATCATGGGAGAAAGAAGGGCTGCTTATGCACAGGGAGACAGCTCAGGGGGCAGGAGTGCATGGAGGGATGGACACTGGGAAGAGGTAACTATCGGTTGCATTGTGGTAAATTGTGGTCAATGTTATGAGACAAAGTGTATGTGAACTGCTGTATGGAAAGTGAATTCGCTCTGTGAACTTTCACCCAAATCACAATTAAAAAAGAAAATTGCTTTGGAGTTTGTTTTTTTTTTAATTGATCATCTGAATCCATAAATAAAAGTGTGATTGACTCTAGTTTGAATCTTTGACTATTGCTAAGCAGTTTACTTGACCTGTATTTGATATACAACTGACTGCTTTTCTGACCTTTACAATTCTTTTTCTATTCCTCATACATCTTGTACATACTTTGTTTGGTTTATATATAAGTATTTAGTTTTATTTTAGCAACTGACTCATATTAACTTTGTGTCCTGGAACCTTGCTACAATCACTTACTAGTTTTCGGAGTTTGTTAGTGCTTTGAGATTTTCTACATGGACCGTCTTATCAAATGTAAACAAAGACAGTTTTATTTATTTCCAGTCTGTATATATTTTATTTCCTTTTTGTATTGTGTCTGCTAGGAATCCCAGTATGATATTAAATAGAGACGGTGAGAAAGGCTGTCACTATCTTGCTCCTGTTTACTTCGGGGGAAGGCATCTGGTTTGTCACCATTAAGTGTGATGTAAGCTGTAGGATTTTTGTAGATATTCTTTATCAAGTTGAGAAAGTTCCCCTGTATTCCGAGTTTGCTGAGAGTTTTTATAATGCTTGGATGCTGGATTTTGTCAAATGTTTTTGTGCATCTATTGATATGTTCATATACTTTTTTTTCTTTAATTGGTTAATGTGATAGATTAGATGGAAAAAAAAAGTAAGCTTATAAAAAAATGATGTTGTAACTACCCTCTGGATATAAAATTCTCCATTTTTGTAATGAAAGGAAACAATAGACTCCCTGTTAATCAGTCACTAAACCGGTAACTAAAGGACTGAGTGCACAGAAGTGGTACTGTTAGGATGGAACCAGTCTGTTTTATTGGCCTGCTCCAGCGCACCTCAGGTAATGCTGTCTTTTGAATAGCAATAGTGAGAATTAGGAAGCAGATACAAGGTCCTACAGTGCATTGAGGAAAGCCTCTGGGCTTCAGTTAATTAGCATTTATCTCCAAGGCATGTAACACTGTCTGTAGAGGAGGCCTAGACTACTAACCTTGGGCCAAATCCCTACCAATGCCTGTTTTTGTAAATAAAGTTTTATTGGAACATACTCATTCACATACTGTCTGGCTGCTTTTATACTGCACATAGTCACCAACTTAACATGTATTTGAGTTAGAACACATTGCACTTAAAACTGTTTTGGGGTTTTCTGTACATCTAATCAGTATAGGAGTGCTGGTGGTGCAGTAGTTAAGACACTCGATTACTAACCAAAAGGTCAGTGGTTGAAATCCACCAGCTGCTCCACAAGTGTAGAAAGCTGAGGCAGTCTGCTTCCATAAAGATTTGTAGGGTTAGAAACCCCATGAGGCAGTTCTGCTCTGTCCTGTAGGGCTGCTGTGAGTCGTAATCAACTCGATGGCGGTGGGTTTGTTTTGTTTTGTTGGTTATCATTAGTAATGAACTAAATACAGTGTTGGAGAGTGTGATTTGTTCTTGTCATTCTCTGTAAGTTTATATATAACGTTTCCAAACCCCAAAGACAAAGATAGGATTTAGAAAGATACTGATAATAAAGGCAGTAATAATGAAAACTGAAAAAAATAAAAGGTATTTGACAAGTCAGAACCAAGTTAGGACAGGTCATTGGAATGGATCCCAGGCGTAAGTCAGCGACTGCCTGTGCAAGGGCAGAATTGAGTAGCTGTTAAAGACTGTATGATCTGCAAAACCTAAAATAATTGTTCTCTGGTCCTTTACAGAAAATTTTTGCTGATTCCTTTTCTATCATTGGCATTAATAGGAACCTCACATTTTTTGGGGTATATAGATGATTTAGGCTTGAGAAAGGATGATTTTTAAGTCAAAAAGAAAAAAAAATTTGAGTAGTTATTTTGTATGTTTGGTTTTAGTTTTTTTTTGTTGTTTGTTTAATAGATTTTATTTTGTAGGGCAGTTTTAAGTTTACAGAAAAATTGTGCAGAAAGTACAAAGTTCTCAAAGTATATTGAGGGGTGAGAGGTAGCTTCTGTTCCATTCACTCAAGAATCATAATAGACTTGGAAAGACCAAATGATCTCAAAGGTGAAAGACCACTTGAGGAGCAGAGTCCGTTGAGCGTGTCATTTCCTCCCTAGCTTCTGGCTGTTTTGTAAACCAAGTCTGCACCCAGTTCTTTAGTGATGCCAGGAACACTTACGCTTTCCGTCTTTGATGCAGTATGCTGCATCAGCTGTGCTTGATTTCAGGTAGCAATGAGGGAGGGAAGAGGCAGGGAAAAGGTGCTTGTTCTCTTTCCTCTCTCTGTTCATGATTTAGTCTGCGAGAGATCTGGGGCAAAGGAGATCTCGCCTCCGTTCTCCCACTTGATGTTGTTGCTGTGCCCTCGAGTTGTCTCTGACTCAGCAACCCCTCCCTGGGTTTCCGAGGCGGTATCATTACGGAAGTAGATTGGTGGGTTTGAACCGCCAGCCTTCTGGTTAACAGTCAAGTGCCTCAGGCATTACGCCACCAGAGACATTACCCATGACCTATTCACAAGGAGCTCTAGTAGCATAGTGCTTAAGGCACTTGACTGCTAACCAGAAGGCTGGCGGTTCAAACCCACCGGCCACTCCTCGGAAGGAAGGTTGGGCAATCTACTTCCGTAGTGATACCGCCTGGGAAACCCAAGAAGGGGTTGTTATGAGTCGGGGCTGACTCAGCAGCACATAACAACAACATTTATGTCATAAGTAGTTGGCCCTACATCTCCAGCAGTGGCTTCTACCCTGTCGGTCCTACTTTCTTGCATTTTCTGTAGCCTAGTAGACTTTCCACCGTTGTTTGTTTTCCTTTAATGTTCTTCCCTTTTAGCCAAAGATTATAGTTTCTTTTTTTTAAAAATTGTGATTTGGGTGAAAGTTTATAGAGCAGTTTCATTTTCCACACAATAGTTAATTCACATTTTATTTCATGACATTGACTGC